AGTACCTGGATACTCTACAAACTATATATAAGCAAAAGACCTGAGAAAGACCAAATACAATATATTTTCCTTCTTGCCCAAAAATTAAAAACTATTTATTTGTCTTATGGCACTTGATACTTTTCAGCATATTCACGTAAAGTTCGTCAAGCACTGATGGTATCTATTCTATATTGTGAAAATTCCTCATCTGTTAGTCTCCTTAAATGTTTTACTGAAATTCGTTGTATATCAAAATTTTCCAAAAAATTTTGATAGTAATGGCCAGTTTTTTCTTTTTCGTTTATTTCTTTTAAGAATTCTACCATAGTAGAAAAAGTAGAAAAGGTATACAGATTAGATTGAATAGCTTGAGATTGTATAGAAATATGAGGCAATATTTGATACAGATTATATGAAACTAATAACAAAGGTTGGTGCGACTGAAATGTTTGAGATCCAAAAGCCTAATTGTGTTGTGGTATTGATGGTGCTTGTGGAAATGGTGACAAAATCAATTGTGGTTGTACTTGTAGCGAAGGTTGTAATATTTGTACTTGTGGTGGTGGTTGTGATAGTTGTACTTGTAGTAGTGGTAGTTCTAATGATAGTAGCAATAGTTGCACTTGTGGTGGTGGTAGTTCTTGTGATAGTGGCAATGGTTGTAATTGAGGTGATAATGGTACTTGTGGTGATTGAAAATGTGAGGATGGTAATTTTGAATGTATCTTTTTCAATAATATATTAGTATAAGAAAAAAGTGGATATATTAAAAGATTTTCAATTGTAGCCGGTCCTTTTTTTTAAAAATGTATATAAGTTTAAGTAAATATAAATTGTTATAAATATCAAATATTGATATACTATGTCGGATGCCCAAATTGAAAGCATTATAAAAGTAATTTCGATATGCAAATCTTTAAAGCTTTCTTTATTAAGACAGAGACGATTATGCATATTACAATGATATGCATTTCTAATTTTTAATATATTTTCGGCAATTTCTCTTTCATGTGAAGATAAAGATGAAACACTTGAAATTCGGTTATTGTTTTTGTAATTATTTGGTCTTTCAGTGTCATCTTCATCTTCGTTTAAATTTAACTCCTGCAAAAAAATTTATTATATAACTTTTGGTATTATAAATATATATACATATATATATAGATACATTTTTTTCATTTGTTTTGAGAAATAGATGATTGTGTAACAGTAGCATAAATTCCGATATCACTTTTTCTAGCAGCTAACTTTGTATATTCAGATTTGAACTTCTTAAAATCTTGATTATTGGCCAATTGCGTACTAGTACCTGCAACTCTGCATGTTTTGAATGTTACAAAGTAGTCTTTGGCATAATAGGATCATCCTTTGTTACCAAGAGAATTTTGTCGTGAATAGATGAAAAAAATTTATCAATTGTCGATACAGATTCTTTAAACCATTTAGCAGATAATAAAACCCTATTTGCTATTTTGACAAATAATTTATAATCTACTACAAACTCAGATTTATCATTTTCACTGCTTATTTCATCTTCATTAGTTTTATCTTCACTTGCTACAATAAATATCGATAGGGAAGGTGACATAATTATTTTCTATAAAATAAAAATAATACAGTATTAATAAATATAAATACAGTATCTGTAATAAAATATATAAATAATAAAAAATATATTATATTGTCATTCACTTCATTCTTTGTTATATTTGTTTTTTTTTTAGCTTTCATGGAGTTCAATTTGACTAAAACATTGTGATATCATTCACAAAGAGAAAACCGAAAAGATTTTTTTAAATTTATTTGATAATTGTGTTCGAAAACTCTTCCATAAATATATTCAAACTTGGGTGCTGCCCAAGTAGGTTCATAAAGCCATGTATATATTTGTTTCACTAAATCTGTTCTATTTTTTTTGGTTGGCACTAGAGATAATTTACAACTACAAATAGTATTGCACAAATCAACTGTGCAATACAAACATTTTCAGCATCCAAAACAGGTGCCACAGTAATATTTAAGTTTGGTGTTAGCTATATCTGCCATTATCATTATATGTTTGACTGATATGGGAAAAAAATAAAAAATTTTCTATTTTAGGAATTTTTTTTATATATATTTTAAATTTGAATTCCTGATTTCCAGATTCCTGTGTGGTGTGTGATGCATGAAATTTGCTGATAACAGTAATTTGAAAAGTGCAGTAATATTTATGATGATATTTTAATTATGATATATTAATTTGTATTGAATTTTTTTTTATTTTTTAAACTTTGTAGTATTTCTGAAATAGAAAATACTCATTGACATATTCTTATTCATCTTGTTGAATTATGAATCCAATCAATTTATTAAGAAATTACAAAAACGTGGTTTGAATATTTATATCATGTAAAAATGAAGCAAAAAAAACAGAAAAGGGAAACATAATATTTGTGAGGGAAAAAAAATGCTATCAAATTAAAAGTGCTTGAACAAGTAGTTTATGAAAAAATTCATGAACATTGAAGAAAGCAAACTGATTACGGAGAATATAAAATTTTTATGAAAAATATCCAAATATCGAGTCTAATTAATACGTGAATAAATTTAACTACTGAATTCAAAATATCAAAATATATATGAGAATAAGAAATTATTTACTGAAGATAGTGAGTTTGAATTAAAAACTTAAAGAAATGCAAAAAAACTATAAGCATAATGTTCTTTTTGTAGTTACAATATTTAAATGAATATATATTGATATAACTATGATGTTATTATTGTTCTAGGCATTTGACTATCTTTGTGAAAAATCTAATAATTTTTCAAAGCAAAAAAGGTTTAAAGCATATTGAAAAAATAGTAAATGACAAGAATTTCGAACGATAAAAAAAACCTTTTTCACAGCATTTAATTAAAATTTGAAGTTCTTATATAAAAAAATAAATAAATAAAAATTTGATGTGAATACATTTTAGACATTCAAATTTGGATATATTGTAATTCGATTCAAAATCTAAAGAAATAATCAAATCAGTTCTTTAATAAATAATTTAAATAAATAAAAAAACTTCATAATTTCCTTATGCTAATACTCGTATTTTTTTTAATTTCACGGTTGTGTTATCTTGAGATGACACATGTTGTACATTTCAGATTGAATTTTAAGCAGAGTTTATATACCTGATTATCATGGGAGGACTTTCGTCTGATTGGCTAGCATAAATCAATTACCCGGGTAACTTATTTATATACTTTAAAGTACTTTTTGAGAATGTAACGATTCATTAATAAAAAATCACTGTAAAAGTTATTCTTAGCTTTAAATAAATGGTAATATTTACCATGCAAAAGAATCTGAAAAGAATTTGCCTCCACATTTACTTTATTTAGAAGACAAAAATACCATTACCTAGTACTATTACAGGACCATGTGTGATTACTATATGTAAAAAAAAGTCAACCCACTGGAAAACGGTGACTGAAATGTTATTACAAAAGGAAAGGCTAACAATACTTTACCTTCTTATATCAAAATAGGTGATATGATTTGTTTAAATTGTTACAATAGAATTGTAACAAAAAGTTCTGTTAAATTTTGACAACATGCTCAAACTACAGAATGATCTGAATTTGAAAGTGAATGATCTGAAGCTATTGAAACTGTTGTAATTAGAAATGAAAGATTTGGTGAGGTTGATAAAAATACTGACCATTTTTCTTTTTCTAAAGCAATAGAAGTGATGACAAAAATTTTGTATACTCATGAAAATATTAAAAAAGAGCAGACTATATACACATTTGATAAATTCTGGGAATTCATGAAAGGAGAAGATGATAGATTAAAAAATTTTTTTAAAGAATTGTATCTTTCGTCTCATCCAATGTCAAAAATAAAGATTTGCAAATAAAAGTAAAAAAACAACTTCTATTTCTGTACTATTTTTTATATGGAGTTCGAAACAAGTTTGTTAATAATTTTAAGAGGGATTTAGCAATATATTTAGATTCGACTGGTGCTTCTAACATTTCTATAGATACTCTTGCAGATTTAGGTATAATCACTACATCTCGTACAATTACATGACAAAAAAAATTTGCATTTGAAAAATATGCAGAAATCATCGATTTCGAGTTTAAAAAATATGCTGATAAGGCGATGGTGTTGAATATTGATGACTATTACAGTATTCACATAGAATATGTGCCAGATACTACTACAACAACAACCACTAAGCACTTGGCAACAATTCTTGTAAATCTAATCACTACTCAGCTTGCAATTCCAAGAATAAATTTACACAATCCTGCACTAGTTGATGCTGAATTGATTAAAAAAAATATAAGAGATAGATTTATGACTATTTATAGTTTTTCATACAACTGATATTAGGAATTTCACACGGTTAATGATGATACAAGATTAGAGGAATTAACCGTGCACTCTTATGATATCAGATTAAAAGAAAAACGTCACATTCATTCAATGAAAGATGTTGTTCTTGTAGACTTGCAAGAGAATGGTCTTCACTCTATAGAAGAATATCTTCAAGCAATTAACGTCATTATGGAAGTTCCATCTCTATGGTAATATCTTGAAAAAGATATACAATTCCTCTTGTAGCTGATTGGCCTAGACAGATTAACCCTTGAACAGCTATTTCACATTATTTATATTATCACGATTCATCGAATATTACTAATGATATTTTATCTTTTCTTCCCATTATAGGCCCTTTACATATTTCATTAAATAGCCAGGAATTAGTATTTCTTTAATATTAACCCTTTTTTTCTGCATTGTATCATTATGTTTTTAGAGATAAGAAACCTCTTGCACAAAACCCTAAGCCGTGGCGTATCAATCTTATCTTAGAAATTTTTCATAACGCGTAGCAAGAAATTTCTGCAATTGTCAAGGCAAAGTTTGGATTGTTATGTAAAGATGCCAAATATCTTGCACTTAAGGATCTTCTTAACAATACGATTTCTCTTGTTTTAGATGTTTATGCTGTATTTTTTCAATCTGGTAATTTTAACGCTTATTTTGAATCTTGCTTCTGTGTTTGGTCGATTTTTTTTAGATTTAGCCACAAAAATTATTTAAAGGTACCATTAGTGTACCTCTCTAATATCTTTTACTAGAAACTAAACAACCATCCAATCTTGGAAATAATAAAGCCAGAGCTTCTCAAGTTTTCAGATTCAACTGTTGAGATATTTTACAGCCTTTTACGATGAAGTACACAGAAGCATATAGAGGCACAGCAAATCATCAAGTATAGGTGTTATATCAACCAATTACATTTGGATGATAATAGTTTTAGAGAGAATTTTGCACATACATCGACGTGGGCAACCTATGAATATTCTGTGCATGATATTACAATTTTAACAAAAAAAAGCGCATGTTTTCTCTTGCAATGCTTTTCTGAAATTTATGTACAATTATTTTGCCATAGAATTTCATTAATACATCAATTACAAGTTGATTCAGATTCACCTTCTAAAAAAAGAAAAGGGAAAAACAGCTAATTATAATACTATTTTATTAGCCACGATGAGAATGCCAGAGGCACAATTATGCCATCTTCCTCTGGGTTTTAGTACTTCACACAAACCCGATCCTTTTTGTCATTGTTATACAGCTAATTGTTTTTTGCTCTTTTATCAAATAATACAGATGCAGTTATAGCTTTAGCTTGTGGTCATACATATTACAAGTCATGCTATATTTACAACAGATCCAAATGCTTATATTGCCTTGCATTTTTACAAGAAGGCATCGATGAACAAGTTCAATCCTTGCTAGATTCTTTAAAAGGGTTAAAACCTTCTAAGAAACAGGCTAAAAAATGTGATAACAGTTCTCTTGGTGATGATAAGGATAATGAATGCGGATGGTAAAATATTCAGCATTTGAATTAAAAGAAGCATTACAAAAATTCTACTTATTACACTATTGAATTTTTAATTACAAATTTTTATTTATTTATTTATTTTTTATTATTGTTAATAAATAATGTTTATTAAATTAAATTATTACGAATACATTACTTAATTGTTTTTATTAAATGGCTTATAAATATTACATATACTATATAATCGAACTAGTCTTGATTATTAAATAACGTAGCATAATTTGTAATTCGTAAATTGCTAGTTGATACTTAAGTTTTGGGCCTAACATATGAATATGAGGGTGCTATCTAATATGTATGTTCTAAAGGTAATAAAAATCGAAAAATTTAAAAAATAGTAAAAAAAAAAAAAAGATTTCGCTAAGTTGCAAACGATAAAAATCGATAAACTAATTATCCCGCCAAAGATTTTTGCTCAATTTAATTGGTCAATGTTCATGCATGGATCGACGTGATTGAACCAATCACATGAATGTCTTCCTATGAACCTGATTATGGTGATAATAGGCGGGTAATTATTTTTGAATCCAGAACAAAAAAATGGTATTACGTCATATATAAAATTGGTCCGATTTCAAAAATAATTACCCATATGGATAATTATTTTTTGAATCCAGGCCAAAATGTTATTATGCCATATATAATTGGTCCGGGTTCAAAAATCATTACCCAGGTGTTGTTGTAA